TATTGATAAAACCCATGCAGGACAGACGATTGTCAAATCAAAAAGTGACCGGAAAAGAAGATAAAAGGTAAAGGAATTTTATCACAAGGACAAGGACAATACTGGTTTTTAAAATTTAAATACTGAATCTGTACTGTATTCTAACAGGCAACCAACCATACATACGGAAGAAACATAGGGAACGAAACAAACTGTTATAATGCTCTTTATTGCAACTAAATGGAACGCTATATCTATGAAATATACAGGGTGTTACATGACCGCATGTAAAAAAATTAAGACGAGCACTTTTTCAACCAAGGATTCAACGTGTTTTGTTTGGGAGCCACCCCCAAAAGAAGTGATAAAATTTGGATTTCTTCTTTAATTTTTTTCTCAGCAACCATAAGAGTTACAAAGATGGGTGGCACGCACGTCTTTGAAAAGGTTTTGCCCCATCCGATTTTGAAATTTTTTTTTCAAAATTTCTACCACGCAAGGGCGCACCCCTACTTGGGAGTTGGGGGTGCGAAAAATTTCGACGAAATTTGGTATCTGGGGTTTTTGAACATTAAAATAACGAATCTGGAATTAGTTTTTAAAAATTCTAAAATAAAAGTTCCATTGCAATTCTTGGACGGACAACGAAAATGGAGGAATTCCACGAAATTTGTTGTGTACATACTTGATCAGTTAAGGAACAAAATTGTCGAACAGATTTTTAAAAAATCTTTAAACAAAAGTTATACTCATTTGAAGATTGAGCCTTAGGGTTACAAAGTGTCCCCCGCTTACTAGTGAGTTATCTAATATCGCATGTAGTTAATTGAAAATGTCGCAATTACTAAAAAAAATAACGATTTCAAATCGCTTACGGTGTCAAATAAACAGGGTACGAAGAATCGCATAGGATTTTCAGAATGGGAACTCGGCTCCTATTCCGAACCACGACTTTTAATCCGGGTCATATTCAATAGCACTGATCCTTGAACTCGTCGAAATCGATTGGCGAGGGTTTGACATCGTCTCTTTTCAGGAAAATTTGGGTTTGGGTTTGACTTATTCTTTTATTCACAGCAACCATGTACGAGGGTTGCTTTTACCCATCGGTATGGATGCCACCCCCATTTTGAGGTGTGAAAAATTGAAAAGAAGTCAAAGTGATCGACTAAGCAACTTTTCTTCCATACATTTTTTCTGAAATTCAATACTTTTGGACAATGTTTCAACCAAAAACCCCAAATTTTCAGATAGTTTTCCGCGAGTAACTCAAAAAGTAAGTATTTTATTAAAAAAATCATTCTTAGTCGAAACGCAACTGATGTAAAAACAAAAATTACAACCCCCATTGAAAATAATCGTTACCAGTATACGATTCACTTAATTTATGTACCGTGTCCCATTTTGGTTGAGACTACGGTGTATCTCAGCTTATATTGATAGAGTCCTGGGGTTTTCGGGACCCTGTGCCACTTTTTTGTGAAACTTTTAATGCCACAATCAAAATCAATCCGGCTACGTTTTTTTATGATATACAGGCTGAAAACGAAAAGTTTGACTTTTTGGGATGTTATCAATCATATCTTGGGCGTTGTGCGCGGGTGCACCATCCTCTTGAAACAAACAGTTACCAACTTTTGTTATTTTATGTGTACCATAGATCGTTGTATTGGTAATAAAAAGTGCTATTCAATACAGTGTATATTTTTTTTACAAGTCATATTAAAATATAAACTTGATGATTTCTGCGAAACCAAATGTTGTATTGAAAATCTCTCAGCAGTGTCTTGTGGAGCTCAAACAGTGGCAATGAGAAACTTGTTTTTATTTTATTTTTGTATGCTCAAATATCTTCAGAAAAAAATAAAAACGCATTCGGCAACTTTCTTTCTGTTTTTCTGGCATATCTTTGGAAGTAATCGGAATTTTCTGGTTTTCTTTGCAGCATGATAATTAGTTACCCTTTAGCTGCTCAACTTTTCTCTAATTTGATCATCTTCCTATCTTCTATGGTTTCCGAGATCCCCGTGATAGACATCTTTATCTTGGACTCTTGTATAAAGCCGCATTCTAAAGGTGATTGCGATGTTACGTATCACTTTCTGCAACCATAATCGAACAACATTATGTCAAGACGACGTAAGTGCCTACTATAATAAAATTAATGAAATTATTTGAGCTACGTAGTTGTTTTCCGACACCACACTAGCGATAAGCGCTTACTTTAACACGTCGAACGCCTCTTCTGTCTAAAAAGAATGTCTATTCTCGTTTTATTTAAAGTCAATTGCGTTTTGTTGAATATTAAAGTCATTTTCTTTGAACGTTAAAATTGAGCACATTACTTATTGCAAAATGAAAACAAATTTCAAATGTGTGCTCGTTCTTTTCTTTCAGTATGGACATTTAAATGGGCCCGCATGCATTTCTTTTTCCATAATTTCCATGGATTGATGGAGCATACTAAGAAAAATGCAGTAATTTATCTAATAAAATTAACAAAGGTAACCCTTATTATTATACACAGACTAAATACAATAATATCTCAAAAAATCAGACTGTTGTGTCCCGTCGAAAGTGAGCGAATAAGGACTAAAATTAAGTTTTAGTGCTTTACTTTTGTTATCGTAAACAATTTAGAAATGTAAAAAATGTTCATTATTGTTAAGATACGCCCGAGTTTATCTTAAAGTGAGATAAAAAACGCATTTGGCACAGATAAGGTACCTACTTGTTATTTATTACTGAAAATGTTTCGTTTATCTTATTCGCGTTTCGATAAATATTTTGACGATTTCTCGCGCTCAATTAAAATTAGCAAGGTGAGAATGAAACTTTTTGAAGCGGAATTTTAACTGCACTTATATGTTGTGTTAATTTATCATTCATACTATAAATCGATGTTAGTCATCGACGCAGTTTTGAACAATGCGACGATTTACAAATTCGACTAGGAGTTGGGAAATTGGAAAGAGGCAGCTGAAATACGTAGCTGGAAGTACATTCGTTTAAATCCAAATAAAGATACATTAGATTGAAATTCGTTCAAGGCCGTCAAAACAAATCTAAATGACAACTTCTTATGGCAAAAACTACTACAAAATATTCACAACGCAGTTTCTACGACTCTGCAAATACTACAAACGCAAATTTTAAACAGAATTGATTCTGTTCTTACCTATATTACAATTCTAATCAAGAGAATGTGGTTATACACTCGTTATTACTTCGTATGGTTAGTGCACGTGAAGTTCTGCTGCCAGGATAAACTTCTTTCTTGTACTTTCTTCTTCCACCGGAAATACTTTCTCTCGTTGATCTGGCGCTGGCGATGTCCTCTGAAAGCGGACCGAACTGCGGTTATATTAGGATAAGAATGTTACGAGAGTAGTAATAGATAAAACACCTGCATCTATAACAAAATAATAAAATCAGAGTATTTTACAATTCTTTTTGTCAAAAAAACAATGTAACGTGCACGATCATGACACTAGGCTTAAACATAACCTTCGAGACTGTAGTAGTCTGTCTAAAACCCTGGATGGTGTAGTTCACCAATCTCAACTACTTTACAACAGCCTTCCTAATAGTATAAGATTCTTTGCTGCCCATTGCTGCTCTTTTATTGTCAGGGAGAGTGTTATTATATTATTATTATTATTTAAAGGTGAGAGGTGCCCAAGATAAGGTTGTCTATCATGGGGATCTTCGAAACCATGGACGATATGGCGATGGGCAAATTAGAGAAACCATGCGCAATTAAAGAAAACTAGAAAATTCCGATTACTTCCGAAGATATGTCAGACAAATCGAATTTTGCCGACTTCGTAATTTTTTTCTGATATTTGCAGATTTAAAAAATAAAAAAAACTTTCTCATTGCCATTTTTTAAGCTCTACCATACACCGTTGAAAGATTTTGAATGCAACGTTTCCTTTCGGAGAAATCATCATAAACTACATATATATGGCCCATACAAAAACCCACTGTATTGTGTAGCTTTTTTTTACAAATACAAAGATATACGGCACACACAAAAAACAAAAGTTAGAAACTGTTGGTTTCAACAGGATGGCGCACCCGCGCACAACGCCTTAATCGTGCGCCGGTGCACCATCCTGTTGAACCAACTTTTGTTTTTTTTCTGTTGTGTGCCGTATATCGTTCTATTCGTAATAAAAATCCTAGTCAAGACAGTGTGTACTTTAGGGTCATATAAAAAAATAAAGTCGAGGATGATTTCCCCGAAACGAAACGTATTGAAATTGCAGCTCTCTCGATGCAAGCTTTATAAGGGGAATCGATGGTGTCCGTCTGTCCGTGAACACGATAACAGTCAAACGCTTGGACCGATTTGGTTCAAACTTTTCACAATTGGCCTATATGCCGCATGTAACAAGCTTATTGAAAATGGGTCAAATCCAATGACTGCTTTAGGGGTTTATTACTTATGTCTGTACACTTGTGCACTTGTCAGTTTTAAAATGTAAAAAAATTATAGAAAAAACATTGTTATTTAATCCCAACAAATCCTAAATTTTTTCACATTGTGTGTAGAGTGAAAAAGGTTTTTTACAGACATTTTTTTAACAATGTGTTGTTAACTTGTGAATTGGTTGTTTCTACAAATGATTGTTTTTTCTAGACATTTATTCGTTGTATTTTAATTGTAAATAATCTTAAAATAATATGCTCGCGTTTCTATTATCATATATTACAGCTATTACGAATGATTTATTACCTTATTTGTCACCATTCAAACCATCATATATTTGTAAAACGCCTGTACAAATTTATGTTTAATTCATCTCCTATCCAAGTTTGTATATTTGGCGGGAATTAATTACGTCTGCGCCTGCTCCATACAGGCTTGGACCGAGGGCTGGGCTTTATAAAAAAAATTTACCGTATTCAACTTAAGGTTATTACACGCTTAAACAGTTTACTATTAATCTAAGGCGAAATTTGTATGTTAATTAGTATAATATAAAACAACTTAATTAGATTCTTTTTTGTTTCAGGTGAGCCATTAAGGATTTTCGATGGGGGCATATCAGGTAAATAAAATGCATACAAGATAACAGCTTCATTAATTCGACCGATAACACGTTTTATTTTTAATTAAATCCATTATAACTGCATCTTGTATGAGACGAAAAGGAAATATTGGGGATTAACTGTAATTAGGAGGTATTTGCATGAAATTCGCGTGTTTTTTGGTCGCGCCTTTTTTGACATTTTTGCTGCACCGAGCCGTCGCTCGTGCGTAAGGTTTGCGCAAACATGCAATTATTATTTGTCACGACAGTCCGACAACGTAGGGCGATGCACCTTTTTCGGGATCGTCCATTTGTCTTTGTAAGTCCGCGATGATTGTTCAGTTTTGTTGTGTACGTATTTATATGCTTATTATGTGGAATGACTGCACTAAAGATACGTGTATTTGGCGCTCATTAAGAAAAAAGTGCAACTCATTCTGCCGAATGGGTTCTTCACTATTGGTGTGATTATCTTTTGTGACAGCAATGATAATTAGTTATAATTGAAAAATTACGGTTTCGGGTTAAGACGAATGTGATTGTTGTCTTGTCGTTATGCTATATTTCCGGTTGCACCTTGTGCAATTTGCATTAGATTAACTTAATTTTGTGATTGTTATTTAGGGCAAAGGCACAGTCATATGCAACCGTTTTACGTCTACGCTATCAGTAACAATACCCCATTATCACTGAAGAATTTTTCCTCATTTTTAGGTGAATTTTAAATGTGGATAACAAAACACCGTTATACATTCTTCCCCACTAAACTTTCCTTTCAAAACGGATCTGGTATAGTTCATATACCGATATGAAAGAAAAAAACTGCAAATAAAACATATCTATCGATTCACATAAAGTCCGTAAAGTTCTACGGTTTTGAGACCTGATCAACATAAGAGTAACTCGAATTGACCATGAAAGAGAGAGATAGACGCATCGGCCATGTGTAATTGTAGTTAATTTTTAATGTCACGCTTAAACGCGACTTAATTAATATTAGACGTGATCTAAAATTTCCACGGCCTTCCCCGAATCCAATTTTGTTGGTCATACCTTTTACCTACTCCTGACACTTTCCTTGTCCGACCCAGATTTACAATTGAAATTGCAGCTTCGGAATTGTCATGTTAAAGCTCACCAAAAACCAAATTTCGTCGAAATCAAATTTGTTCCCAACCTCCGTTTAGGGGTGCGCCATCTTGGAGTCGGTATTTTGGAAAAAATGCTCTCAAAATCGGAAAGGATACTATCTAAAGACGTGCCATGCTTCTTGATGCATCTTATAGTTTTCGATAACAAATTAAACAAGTCATATATGCAAACATAAATGACGAGAGCGTATTTTCCTCCTAATAATATTAATGCTAGGACCGGAAAAAAATACCGGTTGGAACGAGATCCTTACCCCATTCTCTTTCAAATGAGCCTCCTATCGTCGAAGTATATACATTATAATAAAAAATAGTGGAGCAAATTTTGAAATGGGCATTAGTTTTACTTCTATTCGAAGTGTCTACATTTGAAACTTTTTTAAAGGCTTTCGTAAGTAGCATTGCGCATTGTCTTCATTACAAATTTCAATAAATAAAACATTCAGCATGCGTAAACAGTAATTTAAAAACCGGTAATAGTTTTAGTTTCATTCAAAGTGCCTACATATGATATTTCGTTTAACTGCTTTTACAAATGAGAAAGTTGCCATTGCGCATTCGCAAAACCAAATTTTAAAACTGGTGTTAGATTTGCTTGTATTCAAAGTGCCTATGTATAAAATTTCATTTAAATGTTTTCATAAATAAGAAAGTTGCCTTTTCCTTTGCGCAAAACAACATTATGAAAACGTAGTTAATTTTACTTATATTCCTTGTGTTTACATACAAAGTTTCATTTAAATATTTTCATAACTAAAAAAGTTAGCATTGCACATGCCTTAAACCAAATTTTTGACACTGCGCATGCGCAAAACCAAAAAATATCGGTATGCACGGAATCCTTGGACCAAGCCCTTTCAAATGAACCCTATATCGCCCAAATCGGTTCAGTGGTGTAGAAGGAGTACGTGTGATGGACGGACGGACGACAAAGTGCAGCCAATAGCGATTTTTTCACTTTGAGGAAAATACGCTAAAAAGAGACGAGGACTTTTCCAAATGAAATATTGGCTATCCTTGGCAAAAATGTTTGTCTTGGTATCCATCGATTTTTTTTCACAACTCAAATATAACACTCTGTGGATTAGGTGCAATAATTTTCATGTTCTGAAATTTTTCGGTTGATGTATTGTTCCATTGTTTTTAAACGTGTTGTGCGATGTAGAATGGGATCAAAGAAAATCTTTTTTAAACACGTTTTTATTGGTTCTATTGCGGCTATCGATTTCAACCTCGTAAGGTCATCTTCAGGCCGAGCTATAATATATTGTTTAACGATACAATTACAATGTGGTGATGTCTTACCGTCAATACTGTGAGATGAGGAGGCATGTACTATTATTAGCGGAGTAGTATGTGTTAGTTATCAGGAAAGCTGTAAATGTGGTTAATTAATAAAATTGGAGAGATCAGTTACATAAATATAAATAAATAAATATAAAATATAAAACTTACATGTTTGCTAAAAGTGAGGTTGTGTATAATTGTCTTGAATGAAACGTGTGTAACCTATACAAATAAAATGAAGTGTCAGTGGCGTGTTATGTGTGTTTATTAAAGGGGGGTATAGTGTGATAAATGTGATGTGTGTTAAAGTCTGTAATTTCGTTGATTATGTTGCTGTGTGGATTTAATAGTGCTTTGTGTATTTCATATTGTTCGAGTAAGATGAGTTTGTGGTATTTGTTACATTTGTGAATTAGTGTAGTGTTGTTGATGGTGATGTTATGGTTTGTTTGTTTTATGTGTGTGCTTATGGCAGAGTGTGTATTGTGGGGTGTTGTGTGTTCCTTGAATCTGGTGAGTATATTACGTGTGGTCATACCTATGTATATGCTGTTGCATTGTGTGCAAGAGATTTTGTATATGCCGGATTGTAAGTGATGTGGTTCTTTTGTGTGTGTGTGTGTTAGTTAATATATTATGTATCGTGGGGTGTGATTTTGTTATCAGGTGTAGGTTGTGTGTGTGTAGAATATTATTCATTGGTTTGTGTATATGTTGATGGTAGTGTGTAGATATGTATTTGTTGTCTGATTTGTAGTGTGGGTAATATTTGTTTATGATGTGTTTTTGTTTTATAGCTTGGTAGAGTCTGTATATGTGTTGGTAGGTGTAGTTGTTGTTTGTGCCTATTTGGAAGATGGTGTTGAGTTCGTTGTTGTAGTTATGTCTGTTAAGTGGTATTGTAAGTAGTCTGTTAAATAAATAGTTGAATGCAGTTGTTTTTATGTGTGGTGAGTGGTAGGAGTTTGCTGGTATGATTATGTCTGTGGAGGTGGGTTTTCGGTATATGTTGTAGGAAATGTTCTGTATGTCGTTAGTTAAAGTCAGGTCTAGAAAATTTAGTTTGTTATTAGTTTCTATTTCTATAGTAAATTTGATATTTGATAAGTTGTTGATGGTATTATGGAAATTGTGTAGTTGTTGCAAGCTACCAGTCCAGATGCATAAGATGTCGTCTACATATCTATTCCATAGTGAGATGTGTTTAAAGTCTGGTAGTTGGGATATTTTTTTGTTCAAGGTGGTCTATATATATGTTAGCTAGTAACCCGCTAATCGGGGATCCCATTGGTAGTCCATCTTTCATTTGGTAGCATTTATTGTTGAAGGTGAAAAAGTCTAAATTGGTAACATGTGAGAATATTTTGAGTAAATTGTCAATATCAGTTGGGTCTAGTTTGTAAGTATGTCTGAATGTATAGTTGTCATATAATATGTCGCCGAGTATTTGTAGTGCTGTGTGTTTAGGGATGTTAGTGTATAAATTTACTATGTCGAATGAAACTAGTGTAAAAGGTGTATGTTGTAGTTGTGTTTTTTGTATATTATTGATAAGCTCAAGGGAATTTTTAATTGAATATGGTGATTTATATTTAAGATGTTGTAGGGTTATATTGTTGAGTAATTTGGCAATATTGTGTGTAGGTGAATTTGTTGAGGATGTGATAGGACGAATAGGGTGTGTAGGTTTATGTAATTTTATTAGGCTGTACAAGTGTGGTGTTTTTGGGTTTTTTTGTTTTAGTTTATGAATGAGGTGTGTGGTGTGTGTAAATTTTTTAAGTGTATCTAATGTGTTATTGAGTATTTTGTTTGTTATGCTAATGTATTTATTGATGGGGTTTTGTTTGATAATAATGATGTTATTTTCTGTAAAGAATTGTTCTGTTTTTGAAATGTATTCGTTATTGTTAATGAGGACTAAGCCTGCGTTCTTATCTGCTGACGTAATTGTAATATTTTGTGTAGTGATTTTTTGTTTTAGTGAGTTTATTGTATGGTGTAACTTGTGGGATTTTAGATGTGAATAGTTGTATGATTTTTTAACATTACTAAGTTTTCAGCCTTTATAGAGTCATTATTGAAGTTTTTCTGCTTCCCCGCTGCAGGATTTTTATTGATTGTGTTGAAATAATGCATATTTTGCCGCTACGTGATTAAGTTTTCATAAAGACATAAAAAATCAAATCGTATAAACCTGAGGGAGTTTCAATAATGTTTACCCCATTAATATTTTATTACCCCTTTTCAACGTTTTTATTTGCATTTAGTATACGAACCTAATTCCTTCAATTATTCCACTTTTGGCCAAAATTGCATGCTAAATTTCGTAGAACGTGCTCAAATCAAAGAAAACCGACGTTTTCCATGACATGCATGCATAACCATTAATCATGATACTACCTGAATTTGCGTGCATATTCATTTTCAAGATGAATGCGTAGTTGATTTTGATTAGACGACCTAATTCAGAGTTGAATGAGAGTCATTAGTTGAAGTAACTGCAAACAATCTCTTAAAAAGGATCGATATATCTATTGTGTGGTTGGTGCAAACGATAAGACGTATTGTTTAAGATGGT